GACGACGACGACGACGACGACGACGGCGACGAAATAGGGGGGACAACGACGAAACGCCGACGAAGACGACGAGGGAGGAAAGACGACAACGGCGACAACGACGACGGAAGCGACGACGACGCCAAGACGACGACGACGAGGAAAGACAGACGACGACGACGGCGACGACGACGACGACGGCGACGACGAGGGAACAGGGAGGACGACGACGACGACGCAAGAGCGCGCGAGCACGCTTTTTTTTGAAAATCCGTGTTGCGAAACCTTATGTTTTTCTATGTGTTTTGGACGCGCGATTTCGAAATCCTTCCGAAACCTACGGGTTTTGAAGGTTTTCGGCATGCGCGCGCGACGACGCGCGCGTCTGCACTTCGTCTAATTTTTTGCAGAGGATTCTCGCGTCGGCACACGCGCAAGGGCGTTCGACAGATTTCGACATGCGCGCGCGCGAAGCCCGTTTAATAACATTTTGTGAAAATCTTGAAAAACCTCTGGTTATCTTAAGATTTCGCAAGAGCTCGCGCGGAAGCTTTTTTAGCAAATCAGTGTTGCGAAACCCTGTGTTGTTGTATGTTATTTTTGGAAATTCGATTGCGAAATCCTCCCGGCACTGAAGGTTTTTGAAGGATTTCGGCATGCGCGCGCGACGACGCGCGCGTGTGCACTTCGTCAATTTGTTTGCAAGGGATTCAGAACAAACAATGTCACAACATAGTGTTTTTTACAAGGAAACCTCAGGGGGGGATACGGGCCCCCCTGGGATAGTGAAAATTCAAATTTAGGATGGACATGTGGTCAGAATCACATGTGATCTACATACCCGAAAGGGCGAGTGATAACGCCGGGGGGGAATAGATCTTATTCTGTTTTTAGAAAGGAGAATCCATGCGATGCAATTGACTACCCTGCACCGCGCTTGACCACTCCACTGCTCGCGCAAACATCCCACCCACCCACCCGCAACTTGGTTCGCAAAATCTCTTAAGACCGTGACGGTGGGTACCAAATGGCACTTGCCAACGACAGCGACGCCGACGACGACAGCGACAACGACGACGACGACGCCGCCGACAACGACTACGACGGCACCGGCGACGTCTCCAACGACTTCGACGACGCCGACAACGACGACGACGACGACGACACCGACGACGACGCCGACGCCGACGACGACGACGATGACAACGACGACGACGATGACGACGCCGACGACGACGACAACGACGACGCCGACGACGACGACGACGTCAACGACGCCGACGACGACGAAGACGACGACGACGGCGGCAACGACGACGACGCCGACAACGACGACGAAGACGACGACGACGCCGACGTCGACGACGACGACGAAGACGACGACGACGTCGCAAATGAAGACGACGACGAGGGAGGAGGGAGGACGACGACGGCGACAACGGCGACAACGACGACAACGAAGAGGGAGGAGGGAGGACGGCGACGACGCGAACGTCGAAGAAGGAGGAAGGACGGCGACGCCGACGACGGCAACGACGAGGGAGGAGGGAAGACGACGACGACAACGACGACGACGACGGCGACGAAATAGGAGGGACGACGACGAGACGCCGACGACGGACGACGACGACGACGAGGGAGGAGGAGGAAGGACGACCACGGCGACAACGACGACGGAAACGACCACGACGCCGACGCACACGACGACGACGAACACGAGGAAAGACAGAGGACGACGTAGGCGACGACGACGACGACAACGACGCGGGAGGAGGGAGGACGGCGACGACGACGACGACGACGCAAGAGCGCGCGCGCATGCTTTTGTTGAAAATCCGTGTTGAGAAACCTTGGATTTTTGTAGGTTTTTTGGACGCGCGATGTTTGAAATCCTTCCGAAACCGATGGGTTTTGAAGGATTTCGGCGTACGCGCGCGACCACACGCGCGTCTGCACTTCGTCAATTTTTTTGCAGAGGATTCTCGCGTCGGCACACGCGCAAGGGCGTTCGACAGATTTCGACATGCGCGCGCGCGAAGCCCGTTTAGTAGCATTTTGTGAAAATCTTGTAAAACCTATGGTTTTCGCAAGATTTCGCAAGAGCTCGCGCGGAAGCTTTTTTAGCAAATCAGTGTTGGGAAACCATGTGTTTTTGTATGTTTTTGGGAAACTCGATTGCGAAATCCTTCCGGCGCCGAAGGTTTTTGAAGGATTTCGGCATGCGCGCGCGACGACGCGCGCGTGTGCACTTCGTCTCATTTTGCGCAAGGGATTCGTGAAAAAGTATCATGTTAGAACAAAAAATGTCACCGCATAGTGTTTTTTTGTATAAGGGACCCTCAGGGGGGGGGGAAACCAGCCTGCCTGGGATGGTATGATTTCATATTTGGGATGGACGAGTGTGCATAATATATATATATATATATATATATATATATATATATATATACATATATACATACATATACTCCAGATTTCGTAATAAAAGGGAGGGGGTCTCCTTTCGGGGGGGGTCTCTTCCAGGCTATCTTGGAGGGCCTGGGGGGGTCTGGGGACGATGTTTGGGAGGGTTCTCCCACGGGGGAGGTCTGAAATGGCTTGTCTTGGAGGGTCCAGACCCCCTCCCTTTTATTGTGAAGTCTGGAGAGTAGATATATATATATATATATATACATATGAAATTATACTATCCCAGGGGGAGCTGATAAGTCCGGGGGGGGGAGGGGTAGAGTCTATTCTCTTTTTTGAAAGGAGAATATATTCGAGGCGGCGACGGGGCAACGACGGCGAGCATGGAGCCGCCAGACCGCCACCCAGGCCCAGTTCCCTAGACCAGAAGTAATAACCTTTAAGTGCAAGCACTGTTTGGGCAATCTGTAGCACCCCGCATGTGCGGATACTAGGTGAGTGGGCGGGCGCGGGGGTGGTAGGGTCGCAGGGGATTGCAGTCCACTTCCTCCTTCTGCTGCTGCTGTGTGTGTGTGTGTGTTTGTGCTACGCCTCTCATCGCAATGCGCGCGTAGCGTGCAACTAACTCCTGCCACTCGTTTTCATGCCATTCGAAACGCTCGCTGCCATGCAACGCTGTATCTGGGTAGTCGAAGCCAATCTGGCAGGCCCAATCTGGCAAACGGGGGCAATCTGGCGAGGGAGCCAGCGCGAATCCAGTCTGGCGAATAACCCAAATCATCCAGTTTGGCCGGGCCAGATTGGCCCTTGGGGCCCAATCCAATCTGACAGTCTGGCCTTCGACTACCCAGTGTATTTTGAACGCAGCAGATCCGCACGCCCCTCCGAACTTTCCCAGGGGGTACGCTCGAGGGTCCGGAAGCGCCCCGGGGAGCGCAACGCCACGGCCACGGCACGTCGGCGCGTCCTGGAGCTCCCTGGGGAGAGCCCGCTGCCGGATGCGTCCGCAGCTCCTAAAAGTGTCTGGCGTGCGGCTTTCGTCGGGCCGGGAGGGCGATGCTGCCTTGCCTCAAAAACTTGGCGTCACGGTGCGATCCTGGGCCAGAGAGAACAAAGATGACCTCCTGCTTGGTGCGGTTCTGGCGGCAGCCAGCCGGTTCCGTGGCAGTGTCCAACTCCTCGTCAGTTTCCTGGCTCCTGCCAGTTAGTTCTTTTAAGCCTTCTCCCTCTTTCGCCATGATGGTCTTTGTAATGTCATCGGCGTGCTGGCACAGTGACAAGTCCACGGTTCGATTCGTGAATGGGCTCATCACCAACACCATCACGACAACGATTGTCTGTCTCGTCCTCATTATCACCGGCAACAACAACACCGTTTTCCTGCTCCCTTCCTCTTCCCACTCCTAGCCCTCAGCCCCCTCATCTTCTGTCTCCTCCTGCTGCTCCTCCTCCGTCTCCCCCATCTGACGTTTCAGATCACGGCAACATGAGCTTTGCCAACACGTTGTGGGTGTGAGGGTGAAGTATCTGCGCGAGAAATTTGGGATGCGGGAGGAGGGTCGCCGCCCGGGAGCCGGCAGAGGAGGCAGCGGAGGCGGACCGCGAAAGATGGACAGTCTGTCTTGCGAACGTGGCTCCTCCTCCTCCTCCTACTCCTCCCCCTCCCCCTCCTCCTCCTCCTCCTCCTCCTCCTCCTCCTCCTCCTCCTCCTCCTCCTCCTCCTCCTCCTCCTCCTCCTCCCCCTCCCCTCCCCCTCCACAATTACTCAATATGAATATACTCTCCCTCTTCCCCTGATGGCGTCCGGGTGATGGCCGCGCACCCTCCGCGTACTGTTTTTTTACACACAGAATGCCCGGGAAATCCCGGGAAACGACTCTCGCTGAGGCGCCGGCGTCATTTGTTCCCAAAATGCTGCTCTCGTTGAGGCGCCGGCCTCATTTCTGCTCCCGAATCGTTCCGAATCGTGCTCCCGCTGCAGCGTGGGCCTCATTTTCGGATCGGTGTTTGGCCTCCGTCGTCCAGGATGGCGTTCTCGCCCCAGCGCGGGCCTCTTTCTCGCGCGCCCATCCGCCCGCCACCACCGCGCCGCACCGCCACCACCACCACCACCACCACCACCACCACCACCACCACCACCACCACCACCACCACCACCACAACCACAACCAGCACCAGCACCAGTACCAACACCACCAGCACCAGCACCACCACCAGCACCAGCACCACCACCACCACCATCACCACCACCACCACCACCACCACCACCACCACCACCACCACCACCACCACCACCACCACCACCACCACCACCAACCACGCACACACGCACGCACGCACGCACGTGCACCACCACCCACTACGCACGCGCGCGCGGAGCCACAGGTCCGCTACGACACGCGTCCGCGGATAGAGAAAATCAGCGCCATGGTAAGGGATGGGAGGGAGGGGTAGGACGTCAGATATGACGCGAGCGCACCTAGCTTGTCCTCCTCCTCCTCCTCCTCCTCCTCCTCCCTCCTCCTCCTCCTCCTCCTCCTCCTCCTCCTCCTCCTCCTCCTCCTCCTCCTCCTCCTCCTCCCCGTGCACCTGCCCCCCCTCCTCCCCCCCTCCTCGGTCATGTTCGGCTCGCCCTCCTTCAGCGGCGTCTTGGGCCTGGCCTCTCCGCGGGGCGAGGCCAGGGAGGCGGTCGGCCGCGGAGGAGCCCTCCCTTCTCCTCCTCCTCCTCCTCCTCCTCCTCCTCCTCTTCTCCTCCTCTTCCTCTCCTCCTCCTCCTCCTCCTCCTCCTCCTCCTACCGTTTCCCTTCTCCAGCTCCTCCAGCTCCTCCTCCGTCCTTCTCCTACCGCCTCCCTCTACAAATGCACAGCATGAATGCTACTCTCCCCTCTCCCCTGACTCCGTCCCGACGATCGCCGATTCTCTCTGCGTACTGTTCTTTGCGCACAGGATGGGGCACAAGTGTTTTGTCTTGTTTTTGTGTTTTTGTGTCCCACATTCCGATGTTTTGGTGTTTCGAAATGGTGCTCCCGCTGCAACGTGGGCCTCATTTTCAGGTCGGCGCTTTGCTCCCGTCGTCTAGAATGGCGCTCTCGTCTCAGCGCGAACCACTATTCTGGATCCGAACCCTTTTTCATCGTTGTCGCCCCCCTCATTTCCCCTCATTTGCCTTCCCGTTGTCCTCCTGCTCCTCCCGCTCATTCCTCTCCAATTCCTGCTGCTGCCGTTCGTTCTCGTCGTCCTCCTTCCACATCTTTCTCGTTCTCATACTGCTCATCCTCCTGCTTACCCGCCTCCTCCTCCTTCTCCTGCTCCTCCTCCTCCTCCTCCTGTGTATGCAGCTCCACTTTTTCCAGCTGCGCAAGCCACGTCTGTTCCTGTTTGGGGCTCCTGGTCAGCCACGACACGCGTCTGCAGACATAGAGCAACAGCGTCATAAAAAGGGATGGGAGGCACAGACTCGGACATCACACGTGGCGCGCTCCTCCTCGGCCCACCCCTCCACATCCCCCTCCTTCCGTCCTCGTTCCGCCACCCTCATCCCCCTCCCTCTGGGTCTCCTTCTGCGCCCCACCCCTCCTCCTCCTCCTCCTCCTCCTCCTCCTCCGCCTCCTCCTCCTCCTCCTCCTCCTCCTCCTCCTCCTCCTCCGCCTCCGCCTCCTCCTCCTCTCAAACACAACCGCCTCCGGCGTGTGCAGATACGCTCCAACTTCTTAGGCGCGCAAACTGAGAAAACATGATCAAAGTATATCACGCTTGGCCCAGCTGACTAGTGGTACGTTGGCACTCATACCACATGCCTGCAACGGTCCCTGTACCTTGGGGCACCGTTTCAAGGGTGGAAGAGCCCTTGTGGCCCCCTCAGACTTTACATGGTTATGACTACCCTCCAGGGCATCAGCGCTACACTACAATCCTCCTCCTCCTCCTCTTCCTCCTTCCCCGCCCCCTCCCCCTCCTCCTTCTTCTCCTCCTCCTCCTCCCCTCCCCCTCCTTCTCCTCCTCCTCCTCCTCGTCCTCTCATCTTATACTCCTCCGTCGATCCCCCCCTCCGGCTCCCCCGTCAAATCTTGCGCTGCGGGCAAATTTGTCACCCACGACCGATGCCCCTGCACCGCACCTCTCCTCCCTGGCCGGCAGCCAGGCGGCGAGGAAGCACACCGAGCAGGCGCAGGGAGCCCTCCTCCTCCTCCTCCTCCTCCTCCTCCGCCTCCTCCTCCTCCTCCCCAACCTCCTCCTCCTCCTCCTCCTCCTCCTTCGCTTGTCCTTGGGCAGGGACCGACCGTTCCAGCATTCCTATAGAACCCAAAATTGTTCCAAGGACAAAAGCAATGTTCTCAGAACATAAACCCGACGTGTTGAAACAGGACAGTCCCAGCCAGAAAGGTCCTAAGAACACTTCGTGGAAGCCAGCAAACGGTTCTTGGAGCAGTATTTGGTAGGCCTATAGGCTAGCCAGGACGCCTCGCCACTGCTTGACATCCTGATCCTGCTCATATGTCTCCTCCTCCGGCTCTCGCCATGCGCGGGGCAGACGCCGGACACCCGTCCGTCCGATCCACGGTGTGCGACGGGCAAGACGGACGGACTCAGGCCGCGGATGCTGGAAGATCGCAAGCTGCGCGCTGTTGGAAATCGTCGTAGCTGACATCCCCGAAACGCTTCTCCTCCTGCACTCCTCCTCCTCCTCCTCGCCCTCTCCTGCTCAGTACCTTCCTCCTCATCTCCCTTTCCCCTCCTCCTTCCTCCTCCTCCCCCTCCTCCATCATTTATCACCCCTTCTCCTCCCAGCCCCCTCCTCCTCCTTCTCCTCCTTGTCATGCTTCTATCCTCCTCCTTCTCCCCTATCCTCACCTCCTCCTTCTCCTCCTCCACTTCCTGCTACTACTAGGATCCTCATCCACATGGTCGTCCTCCTCTGGCCGCGGGCGCAGTGGCCTGCTTGCCTGACCTAGAGCAGCAGCCAGCGTGGACCCCAGGCAGTCAGTCACTGCCCGTGGGATGTGCAAGCTACGTGGTGCAGGCTCCGTGGTGTGAGCTGCGTGGTGCAGGCTACAAGTCGGCAATAACGCGGCAGTGGGCGGAACGTGGCGAGACGTCGCCAGACTCACCCTTCGCACGAGGCGGCGACCAGGCGGCCATGGGCGGCAGCGTGGCGGAACCTCGCCGGACTCACCCAGCGCACGGGGCGGCAACGGGGCGCTGGCGGGCGGCAGCGTGGCGAGACCTCGCCGGACCCACCCCGCGCACACGGCGGCAACGAGGCGGCACCGAAGCGGCAACGAGGCGGCAACGATGCGGCAGCCAGGCGGCGGTAACGGGCGGCAGCGCGGCGAAACCTCGCTGGACAAAGCAAGCGCACGAGGCGGCAACCAGGCGGCGGTAGCGGGCGGCAGCGTGGCAAGACTTCGCCAGACCCACCAAACGCACGAGGCGGCGACGAGGCGATGGGACGGCAACGCGGCTAAACTTCGCAACGCCCACCAAGCGCACGAGGCGGAAACCAGGCGGCCACGGGCGGCAACGTGACGAAACCTCGCAGGACCCATCCGACGCTCGAGGTGGCAACGAGGCTGCTAGGCGCGCCAACCTGGCGGAACCTTGCGTGACCGACCCAGCGCACGAGGCGGCAACGAGGCGGCAACGAAACGGCAACGGGCGGAAACGTGGCGAAACCTCGCAGGACCCACCCAACGCGCGAGGAGGCAACGATCTAGCAACGGGAAGCAGCTTGGCGAAACCTCGCTGGACCCACCCGGCGCACGAGGCAGCAACGCGCGGCAACGTGGCGAAACGTCGCCGGCCTTACTCAGCGCAAGAGGCAAGAACGAGGCGGCAATGAGGCGGCAACGGGCGGCAAGGTGTCGAAACCCTGTGGGGCCCACCCACCGCACGAGGCGGCAACGAGCCAGCAGCGTGGCGAAACCTCGCTGGGCCCACCCTGCGCACCTGGTGGCAACGAGGCGGCATCGGGCGACGTGGTGAAACCACGCCGGACCCAACCGATTCATTAGGAAGAGCAGTAAGAACCAGTTTTCGTCAGGGCCATTGCTCCTCCCCCTCCTCATCGCCTGCTTCCCCTTCCCTCCCTTTCATCATCTCTCATCCTCCGTCCTCGTTCCGCCTCTGTCCTCCCTCTCTCTTCCTGTCGTCCTGCGTCGCACTCTCCACTAACACACCATCTGATGGGTACCACTCTCCTCTCCCCTGGCACTGTCAGGGCACACGGGATGTATTGCTTGGGTTGCGTCTATGCGGTTTCGTTCGGAGCTTTGTCGGGCTTTCTCAAATGGTGCCACAGCTGCAGCGTTGGCCACATTTCGGGGTCGGTATTTTGCTCCCGTCGGTCAGAGAGTCGCCCTCGCAGCAGCGCGGGCCACTTCTGGATCCGACTCTTTCCTCGCCGTCCTCTCCCCCACCTTCAACTAATCCTCCTGCTGCTGCTGCTGCTCCTCCTCCCTCTCCTCCTCATGCACCTGCTGCTGATCCTGTTCCACATCATCCCTCTTCATCGTGCTCCATTCCTCCTGCTCATGCACCTGCCCAGCCGTCACATCCTCCTCTCCCAAAGCGCATCGCACAATGGAGCCATGTTGGGGATCGAGGTCCTCCGAGAACTGGTCCCCAGCGATCTGCCGTAGACAGTGCCGTCCTCGGCGCGCGCTCTGCAGTACTTCGCAGTGCCCACCTGTTTCATGTGGTCTCTCAGGTCGCGGCAATGGGCATCGTATGATGTGTTGCCGACGTAGGCCTGGTCATCAAAAATACCCCTGGTCGCCACCTTCGGTTCCTTCTGGTACGCCACAGGTATAGCCTGTAGCTGATGACGTTTTCGCAAAACTGGTCGCCCCACTGCCCGCTGCCATTGCCAGCCTTTTGCTCCCCCGCCGCGCCGGGGCTGCGTCTGCTACTGGACTCATCTCTTCGAGCGCGCACCCAACCAAAACTGCACCAGAAGAAAATGTATGAGTCTTCTTGATGCCGGCGATGAGCAGCTGGACGATGGCTCGGTGCCCGTGCTTGGCTGCCAAATTTCAGGCGTCGGACGCGGATCGGGCCTGGGCCTCTGTGTGGCATTGCCTCTAACCAAGGAGCTACCAACCTGCACGACAGAATCGTGCAGGTCGTTGTCCCCAGCCCTGTCGTCGTAGCTGTCCTCCGCGTCGCTATCTCGTCCCTTCAGCATCTGCAACTCCTCCACGTCCCGTCCGCTCCTCGTGATGTCCGCGTAGCCGAGACGACCGAGTACGTATGCGTAGCGGGCAACGTAGAAACCTGCAAGGCGCTGCACATGGCACGACCGCGGCTTTCCGTTTGCCACGACATGTTGCAGCAACGACGTGCTAAGCTTGCAGCTGATGACATCATGTGCGGACCCAGTTTCTGCCGCCACCGCCTGGGGGCGGTCGCTGCCTGGAGAGCGCCCGCGCTTCCGCCCTGGTCCCTCATTGCGAGAGGGGTCGCGGGGTGGGCCTGGTTATGCATCTTCCTCCTCCACCCTGGGCCCGGCCTGGAGGGGGGGGTCGTGGGGTAGGCCTGGCTTGGCTTCGTCTCCTTCTCTCGCGCACCAAGCCGAGCCTGTAGCTGATGACGTGTCTGTCTGAATTCCGCGCTGTTCCGAGCACGTAGTTGATAGCGTCAGGCACCCGTTTTTCTCCTCACCCTCATCCCCGCCGCCGTTTGCCGCAATAGGCTTGTGCTTCATGTCGCTTCCCGCGTAGCTGATGGCGTTTGGCTCCTGCTTCGCGACGCCACCCTCGTAGCTGATGGCGTCGGGTTCGTGCTTCGTGTGACCCCCCCCGTAGCTGACGACGTTGTGCTCGTGCTCCGCGCCCTCCCTCGTAGCTGTCGACGACGGGCTCGGCTTCGCGACGCCATCCTCGTAGCGGATAGCACGGGGCCAATGTTTCGCTGTGCCGCCCTCGTAGCTGATGGTACCGGGCTCGTGCTTCTCTTCTGCGCCACCCTCGCAGCTGATGGCGTCGGGCTCCTGCTGCACGTCGCCGCCCTCGTGACCGATGACGTCAGGCTCGTACTTCGTGTTGCCACCCTCGCAGACGTTGACGCCAGGCTCGCGGCTGGTAGCTGCCGCTGCACTACAAATATTACCACTGCCTGCCGCTGTCGCCTCTGGTCGCACGTTGCCCTGGCTTCCACTGGCGCCCGCTGCCGCCTCTTCTCGCAACGCTCGGGCCACTGCCGTCGTTTCTGCCGCCACTGCTGGCCTTTGTTTGCTCCCACTGCTTCCTGGCTTCCTGGCTTCCAGAGCCTCTAGCTGATGACGGGTGGTGCACACTGCCTGCTGACACTGTTGGCCTCTCCCGCGCGCGCGGTGCAAGGGCTACCAGCACTGCGTGGTCTGCTGGGCTCTACCACCACTCCTTTTTGTACCACTTCTCGTGCCTCTCGCGCAGCTGGTTACTTTGATGGGACACGGTACCTCTGTTTTCTTTGGTGAGCCTGTCTTGTTGCTGCATCCTGTCGCCCAAAGCTCTCTGGACCGCTTGCTGCCCGGCTCTAAAGAATGAGGCGGGCCTGGGCCGAGGAGCTGACTGCTGTTTCTGCTAGCAAGAAGATGCTGCGCGTGCTGCATGAGCTCGACATGCCGCGACCATGCTATGGCTCACTTGGCGCAGAGAAGCAACTGTTACTGAAGGGGCCCTGGGACACACACACACACATATATATATATATATATATATATATATATAAATACAAACAAATAACAGGGTTCCCCATCATTTCCCATATCTTCTGGGTTTTTGTCTCCCCCCCACTTCCCATCTGTTCCCATGTTTTCTGGGGAATCGTCGATTAATTGTGTCTGCTTTTCCTCCCCCCTCCTGAATTACAACGATCCAGACATCGCCCCTCTCCGCGGTCTCAGAGCTCGAGGCCGGTCCGCGGGGCCCGCGCGCGTCGGGGGCCCGGCTGGGGACGGCATGGCCCTCGCGAGCCTCCTCCTCGCCCTCCTCGTCCTCCTTCTCCCTCGTCCTCCTCAGCCCTCCTCCTCCTCCCTTCTCCTCCTCCTCCTCCTCCTCCTCCTCCTCCTCCTCCTCCTCACCTCCTCCTCCTCCTCCTCCTCCTCCTCCTCCTCCTCCTCCTCCTCCTCCTCCTCCTCCTCCTCCTCCTCCTCCTCCTCCTCCTCCTCCTCCTCCTCCTCCTCCTCCTCCTCCTCCTCCTCCTCCTCCTCCTCCTCCTCCTCCTCCTCCTCCCTCCTCCTCCTCCTCCTCCTCCTCCTCCTCCTCCTCTCTCCTCCTCCTCCCTCCTCCTCCTCCTCCTCCTCCTCCTCCTCCTCCTCCTCCCTCCTCCTCCTCCTCCTCCTCCTCCCCTCCTCCTCCTCCTCCTCCTCCTCCTCCTCCTCCTCTCCTCCTCCTCCTCCTCCTCCTCCTCCCTCCCTCCTCCTCCTCCTCCTCCTCCTCCTCCTCCTCCTCCTCCTCCCTCCTCCCCTCCTCCCTCCTCCTCTCCCCTCGTTCCTCGCCCCCTCCTCGGCCTGAATCTTCCTCCTCGCCCGCCTTCCTCTCCTCCGGCCCGCGGCCCCCCGCCGGTCCGATGTTTTCCAACTGCGGCGCCACGGCCACCCCTCGCTCCCCTCCTCGCCTGTGTACTTCCTCCCGCTCCTCCTCCTCCACCTCTCATTCTTTTCTGCGGCGTGGCCCGCAGCTCCTCCTCCTACGCCTCCCCTCTCCGTTCTAGGCCTTCTTGCAAATGTTTCGCACTGATGCCGATGCGGATGCACATTGTTTATCCGCAACAGCGAGGTTCAGTGACGTTTCCCTATTCCTCCTCCTCCTCCTCCTCCACCCACCTCTCCTCCTCATCATCCCTTGTCCCCCGTATCCTCGTCCTCCTCCTCCTCCTCCTCCTCAACCATTGTCCTCCTTCTCCGCGTCGTCCTCGTCCTCCTCCTCCTGCTTTTCCTTCTACTCCGCCACTTCGTTCTCCTCCTCCTCCTCCTCCTCCTCCTCCTCCTCCTCCTCCTCCCTCCTCCCTCCGTCTCGCACTCCCTCGTCGCCATCTCCGCCTCGTCGTCCTGAACCACCCTCGCCTTCCTTCCTTCCTTACTCCTCCTCCTCCCCTTTAGCACCTCCTCGGAGGGAGCCGTTGCATGCTCACGATGGGATGCCGTCGGAGGGTGGCGCTGGCACGGCGCCCGCCGCCGAGGGCAGCCAGGAACGACGCCCGCCGCGGGTGGCGTCGGCACCCCTTTGCCTTCTGCGGAGGCGCGCCTCGCCGAGGGACGGCGAATGCCAGGAAAGAGGAGCGGCGGCTCGGCCAGGAAGGAAGCGAGAGAGCGGGCATGCCCCGTCAGAAGGCTCGGACGACTTCGGGCATTCTGAAAGATGTTTTGCAATATTCGGCCTGACCCGAGGAGCGATAAATACGGAACGGAGCCCCTTTTGTTCCAAGTGCGTCTACGGAGTCCGAAGGAACACCAAGGGGGCTCGCCGCCAAAAAGGTAGCGGAACGCATGCAAACCAAAGGAACGACCGAGCCCCCTTTCAAAAGTAAGTGTTCCTTATTCAAGCCGGATCCTCTAAGCCCTCCCCGAAGACACACACACACACACACACACACACACACACACGGAACACACCTCGGAAGGCCGGAGGGCGGCCCCCGAGGAGCGCAGCCGCCTTCTGGGAGGGCCTCCTCCTCCTTCCCGCTTGCCCCCCTCGCTCTCGCTACCGAGAGGAACCCCGATGGCTCAAGGCAGATCAGGGCCGAGCGAGATTGTGCTCGGCCTCGGGGTCGCGGGCCTCGGCCCCGCGACCTCGTAGAGCCCCTCCACCCATCCAGCTCCCGAGGCTCGAGTCCACCTCCTCCACCTCCTCCTCCTCCTCCTCCTCCTCCTCCTCCTCCAGCGCACGTTCGGCGTCCGCAAGGGGGGCACAAACAACAATCCATATTTTGTGCTTCGGGGCCCAATCACTAACCGGCTCCCCTGAACCGGGGTCCTGGCTATCCCCGAGTTTCTCGCCATCGCTCGGACGTCCATTCCCTGTGTTTTTTTCGGTTTCGTGCGTGGTTTCTTCGCAGGATGACCCAGGATGCTCCTTAAGAATCCCCGCCGAGAAAACATGCACACGTCCGAGCGATACCAAAGTTTCCCCGGACCGACAGACTCGAGCCTCGATCCGGCAAAAGGCTCCTCTCTCCACGTGCAACCCACGGCCCCCCCCACGTCGGTCCTCGGCGACGACGACTGGGACGTTGTCCACCTCGTCCACGGCCTGGGGCAGAGCCAGCGCTGAGCCCACACTCAAACCCCTGGGCGGGTAATGAGGACAGGGGGGAACTGGCCATCGCTCGGACGTCGATTCCTTGTTTTTTTCGGTTTCGTGGGTTTTTTTCGCCAAATGATCAAGGATGCTCCTCGATGGTCCTCGCCGAAGGAAACATGCACACGTCCGAGCGATGCCAAGGGAAGCAGAAACACGCCCAGACCTACAACACGTTGAGAAAAACAAGACGGAGATTCTCTGCGCCGTCTTCAGCCTCTGAGTGCCCTCATCGATGCCCGTCAGAATACGACTCGGGAAGACAAGCCAGCCCCGGGGAACGCGTCGGGACCTTCGGGGACCCCGTTCGAAAAAACATAACAGGAAGTGAGATCTCTGGGAGGGCGGAGGAGGATGCGGCGGATGACGGATAGAGCAGATGGTGAGGAGACCAGGGGCGGCCAAGAGTGGGGCGTCCAAGAGGGGAGAGGGGGGGTGCCAATCATGGCCGGCGGCATGTGCGCGGCCCCGGGGGGGGGGGGGCAGGGACGTAATGAAGTAACTAAGAAGAGGCGCCATGAGATCTGGGGAAATATCATGGCCACCGCCATGATATCCCCCCCCAGTCATCGCCCCCCTCTTTGCGGCCCCCGAGCAGAGGGGACAAGGACGACGGAGGGCGCGGAACTGAAGGCGGTGGCCGGCGGTGGAGGGGCAGAGCCCGCGGACCAGTCGAGGGCGCCCAGCCTGGCTGGGCCCCGGGGGGGGCGACAAAGGATGCTGCGTCTTCGGGGGGCCGTCCCCTCACGGCGCCATCCGCGTCGAATCCGTGCCGAATCCACGTCGACTCCGCGCCGAATCCGCGTAGAAGCAACGCTGGTCAAGATTTCTTGTTGTGCTGAGCCGTTCTGGGCGACAATTGTTTGGGGTGTGTGAGGAAAGAGGGGGAGGGGGAGGGGGAGGAGGAGGGGGAGGGGGGAGGAGGAGGAGGAGGGAGGAGGAGGAGGAGGTGGAGGAGGAGGAAGAGAGGAGGAGGAGGGAGGAGGAGGGAGGAGGAGGAGGAGGTAAGAGGAGAAAAGGATGGAGGGGCATGACATGAGGAGGCGTGAGTAGAGGAAGACTAAACGGCATAATAGGGGGAGGAGGGAGGAGGGAGGAGGGGGGAGGGGGAGGGGGGAGGAGGAGGAGGAGGAGGAGGAGGAGGAGGAGGAGGAGGAGGGAGGAGGAGGAGAGGAAGGAGGAGGAGGAGGAGGAGGAGTGAGGAGGTGGGGGGACGGGGAGGAGGGAGGAGGGGAGGAGGGAGGGTCAGGGGGGGAGGAGGAGGAGGGAGGAGGACGGAGGGAGGAGGGAGGAGGCGAGGAGGGAGGAGGAGGGGAGGAGGGAGGAGGGTGGAGGATGGGAGGGGAGGAGGGAGGTGAGGAGGAGGGGGGAGGGAGGGAGGGAGGAGGGAGGAGAGAAGCGAGGACAGAGGAGGGGAGGAGGAAGGATGGGGGGAGGGAGGAGGGTGGAGGGAGGGAGGAGGGAGGATGGGAGGAGGGAGGAGAGGAGGAGGATGGGAGGGGAGGATGAGGTGGAGTGAGGATGAGGAGGAGGAGGAGGAGGAGGTGGAGGAGAGGCGGAGGAGGAGGGGAGGAGGAGGAGGAGGAGGAGGAGTGGGAGGAGGAGGGAGGGAGGAAGGGAAGGAGGAAGGGAGGGAGGGAGGGAGGGGTGGAGGGAGGGAGGGGGGGATGGGGGGGAGGGGGGAGGGGGACAAGCTAGGTGCGCTCGCGTCATATCTGACATCCTACCCCTCCCTCCCATCCCTTACCATGGCGCGGATCCCCTCTCTACTCGCACAGTCGGATGTCGAGCAGGGCAATGATCCCGAAAGGGTACGCGATGCATTGTAGAGCACGGCATGGCATGGCATGGCGTAGAAGAGCACCGCAAAGCGCAACATCACCCTAGCATTGCATTGCACGCCGTGGCATGGCACCAGAAATGACGCCAACGCTGCAGCGGGAGCACGAGTAGAAACGAGCGGAAGCGCGGAAATGAGGCCAGCGCTGCAGCGGGAACACGATTCGGAACGAGCGGAAGCACGGAAATGAGGCCAGCGCTGCAGCGGGAGCACGATTCGGAACGAGCGGGGCCCGAAAATGAGATCGGCGCCTCAATGAGAGAAGCTTTTTGAAAAAAAATGCAGGCGAACATCCAACTCCGGGGAAACCTGTGTAAACAAACAATACGCGGGGGGGGGGTCGGACACTTTCA